GCAGGTAACTTGTGTTTGTTCTTCAGGATACCGAGTTGAGGATTGTGAAACCGAAGAATGTTCAGAAGAGGATCTTGGTGGAAAGCAGGCAAGTGAAGCTAAGACGCTGCTGGGGCTTGGCAGAATAGATGCTGAGGGGACGTTTTGCTTTGTGAGGGAGTCTAAAACTGACATTGTTGAAATAAGGTGTCTCTTATTTAAGGTGAAGATGAAGAAGAATTTCTTCTGACGGTCTTAGTTTTGGAATTCTCTTCTGTTGAGAGAGATGGAAGTTAGGTTAATGAATATAATTATGAATGAGTTAGGTTGACTTTAGATCCACAAGAAAATTAAAGGGTACGGGGAGAAATCAGCAAAAGCAAGTTAAGGCCATGATCTGATTTCCTACGAGCTGCTGGAAAGGTAGAGCAGCCTTGAGGGACTGAATGGCCTACTCCTCCTCTTCATGTTATGATTTCATATCTCTGATATATTGAATAATAAAAGACAAAAAAGGGAGTAAGAAGTGATAGGTGGAGGGATGAAAGGCCAAAATCAAACAAGCCCACGGGGTGATATAAAGCGTGGGAATGGGACAAGGAACCTTATAAAGACAAGCCTTGAGGCTTTGTGCCTGAATACACGGAACATTTGAAATAATGTGTATGAATTAATCACATAAGTAGGTGTAAACATATATGATATGGTTGGGATTATAGAGATGTGTCTGCAGGGTGACCAGAGATGGGAACTGAACATAGAGATATTCAGTATTTAGGAAGGATTTGCAAGAAAAAGGCAGTGGAGTTGCATTATTGGTTAAAAAGGATATAAACAAAATATTGAGCAAAGATATTAGCTCCAACAATGCCAAAGCTGTGTGGATAGAATTGGGAAAAATAAGAACGAGTAAAAAATGTTAGTGGAGGTACAGACTGCCAGGCTGTATTGGTGATGTTGGGAATGGCATTAAACAGGAAATCAGAGATGCATGTGGTGGGTAACTTTAATCAGCGTAAATATTGCACGAATCAAATTCATCATAATACCATAGAGGAAGAATTCCTAGAGTGTACAGGATGGTTTTTAGATCAATATGTTGAGAAGCCAACTAGGGAAAAGGCCATTTTAGACTGGGTATTATGCAATGAGTAAGGAATAATGGTAATGTATTTGTGAGAGGCCTCTTGGGGATGAGTGACCATAGGATGATCGAATCCTTCATCAAGATAGAGAGTGAGGTAGTTGATTCTGAGATGAGGGTCCTCAATCTTAATGAGGGGAACAATGATGGTATTAGATGTGAGTTGGCTATTGATGGATTGGGAAATGTTCCTGAAAAGAATGACAGGATCGGTAATGGCAAAGAGTGAATGGGTGAACTGCTAAAATTGTTTATTCCTGTCAGGCACAAGAGTACAAAGAATAGAGGCTAAACCTTGATTGTAATCGATGTAAAACAAAAAAGAAAAGAGGCATACAAATTGGCAAGAGGAAAATAAATGAGTAGACTTGAGGATTGGGAACAGGTGAGCTGTCAGAATAGGAGGACCAAGGGATTGATTTTAAAAAAGCGAAAATTGAGTATGAGAGCAAGTTTGTGGGGAACATAACTGACTTAAAAGTTTCTCTTGGTAAATGAAGAGAAAAAGATTGGTGAAAACTAATATAGGTTCCTTACAGTCAGAAGCAGGGGGAATTTATAATGGAGAGCAAAGAAATGGTTGATATACCTTAAATTCAAACTTCATTTGTATCTTCACAAAGGATGCAAATAATATACCAGAAATGAAGGGAAACACCGGGTTTCATGAGAGGGAGGAGCTGAAGCAAATGTGTTTAAGTAGAGAAATGGTGTTGGCGAAATTGATGGGATTGAAGGTGGATAAATCCCCAAGGCTTGATAATCTGCACGCCAGAGTATTTAAGCAAGTAGCCTGATAAATAGTCTATGCATTGATGCTCATCTTCCAAGATTCTTTAGATTCTGGAACAGTTCCTATGTAACACCACTATTTAAAAAGGGAGGTTGAGAGAAAGTGGAATTTTGACTAGTGAGTCTGATGTCAGTAGTGGGGAAGATGTTAGAGTCCATTATTGAGGATTTTATGACAGAGCATTTAGAAAACAGTGGTGGAATCAGATGCAGTCAGTATGGGTTTGCAGAAGGGAAATCATGCTTGAGAAATGTACTGGAATTCTTCAAGGATGTTTCTAGTGGAGTTGTTAGGGAAGCCAGTAGATGTGGTTTATTTGGACATTCAGAAAGCTTTCGACAAAGTTCCACATAAGAGATTAATGCATAAAATTAAAGTGCATGGAATTAGAGGTAATGTATTGCGATGAATAGAAAATTGGTTAGTGGACAGGAAACAGTTAGTAATAAATGGGTCTTTTTCTGAATGGTAGGTAGTGATGAGTGAGATACTACAGGGATTGGTACTGGGAGCCCAGCTATTCGCAGTATATGTTAATGATTTAAATGAGGGAACTATGTATAATATCTGCAGCTTTGGAGATGGCACTCAGCTGGATGGAAGGGTGAGCTGTGAGGAGATGTTTCATTTGGATTTGGGCAGGCTGAGTCAGGAGGCAAATGCATGGCAGATGCAATATAATGTGGATCAATGTGAGGTTATCCACTTTGGTAGCAAAAATAGGAAGGCAGATTATTTGGACGTAAATTGAGAGAGGAGAATGTTCAACAAGACCCGAGTGTCTTCATGCACCAGTTGCTGAAAGTAAGTGTGTGGGTGCAGCAGGCAGTAAAGAGGTTAATTGTATGTTGGCCTTTATAGAAAGTGGATTCAAGTTCAGGAACAAGGATATCTTGCTGCAATTATTTAAGGGGTTGGTGAGGCCACATCTGGAATATTGTGTGCAGTTTTGGTCTCCTCATCTCTTTGGTGCTCTGTCTCTTTCATCTGTACTTTTGCTTTGTGTTCCCTACTGTGAGATCATTGGATTCAGTAAACCAATAAAAAGTGAAGAAATTGAAGTTATATATAACCTTTTCTGTGTGCTTAACAGTTAATTTACAGTGATATTGAATTTGTCTAGTATCAGGAATGACCATTAGGCTGTTTTTTAGGTGGAATTGGTTAAAGACCTAAATATTGGGCAGGACAACCCATTCTTAAGTGTGTCATAGGATCTTTTTAGAGATAACGAAGGTAACAGACGGGCCATATGATCGAAATCTCAAAGCATACTTAATGAATTTAACCCTTGACCTTAATTCCTTGGTCATGAACAATCTGTAAATCCACCATGTCTTATTTAGGGAGATATTTATGGCCTGGCAAGACAGTATGGCATCTAACAGGGAAGCAGTATCATTTCCCGAATAATCTCAAATTTGCCAATGGTAAGTCCTGAAAACATTCCAGTGATAGTAGGAACTGCAGATGCTGGAGAATCTGAGATAACAAGGCGTAGAGCTGGATGAACACAGCAGGCCAAGCAGCAACATAGGAGCAGGAAGGCTGACGTTTCGGGCCTAGACCCTTCATCAGAAAATCTTTTCTGATGAAGGGTCTAGGCCCGAAACGTCAACATTCCAGTGAGTTGTGTGTCTCCAAATAATAGAATTTTGAAGAACAGAGATCAGTGGCATTAAATAGAAGGAGTTTGCTTTGTGAAATAAATGTACAAAGTCAAGCAGGAAACATCAGAAATGGAGAAATGGCCAAGCAAAATGAGAAAAATAATGCAAGAAAGTGTGTGTTAACAACAGGAGATAATAGAAGTACAAGAACTCCATAATCAGGGACCACAAGACAGAAGCAGAAGTGGGCTTTTCAGCCCATCAAGTATGCTCCACTATTCATTGAAATCATAGCTAATCTGACCATCATCAAATCCACTTTCCTGCCATTCTCCCATAACTCTTGATCCCCTTACTGATTAAAAATGCCTATCTCAGCCTTGAATATACTTAATGATCCAGCCTCGACAGCTCTCTGAAGAATTTCACAGATTCACTACCCTCAGAAAAAATATCATTCCCTCTGTCTTAACTTCGCAGTTAAGTCAGTTACACTTTTTGATTAATTCCTGATAATAAAGGTGACCAAGGAAAAAAAAATTGGAAGGAGGGAGATGATGACAAATTTATTGTGCCTATAGACTGATAAACACAAGTCTGGTTGAACTCTAAGAACCAGATGATGCAAATTCCCAAAATCTTTCATTAAGGTTTCAAGCCTATCACCAATAAGCTGAACAACCCAGACCCGATACACCCAATTAACTCATTGTTAGAGCTTGCTTGCTAGTTAGTGTTGTCTAAACTTGCTGACTTCACACTGACACAGCCAGAGTCATACTGCACGGAAACAGACCCTTTTCTTGCATACTGCACAAAATGATCAAATTTTAACAAGTACCTATTAATGTTTAGTTACAGTGAAAAGCTGGAACTTCTTTTGCAACCTTATACTAATTCTGTGGGTTAATATCTACCTCAGTTGAAATTTGGCATTAAGATATCACTGATTGTGATTTCCTAAGTGAGTTAGCATTTATTCACGATTTCTTGGTTAGAGTTCTTCTAATAATATTATCGAAGTAAGATTTCCTCATTCATTCATTCAGGCTACCAATCACCTGGAAGGTAAGCATAATGTGCATGCTGAAACCACTGGACCAGATGATGCCACCGTGTTCAGTTAGCCAGTTTCAGCCATCTGTATGTCATAATTTTAACTGCTTGGTTGGAAGCACCTCGTAGGTGTTCGCCCTTATAGCTGCGCTGCTTCATGAACCATCTGGAGTGCTTACCATTAATTGCTTTGCTATCTTTGACATCAACTGGATAGTTGGAAACTCTTAGTTTAATGCCACTGTTGAACACATTTAAATTATTTTCCTTCAGTATGCCATCAGTTCTGATTTTATTGCTCTTCACTAACAGTATGATGCTGGGTTGTGATGGGCATATTCCAGAATTTGAAAAAACAATTCTGAATTTATTGAGAAAGTCAGTAGGTCTGGCAGAGCAGCTATGGGAAGAGCATTAAAGATTTTTGAAGTTCTCAAGAAGAATCATTTGACTCATTGAAATGTTAACTTGGGGCATTTTTGTCTCTACCAGTGTCATATCTGCCGAGTTTCTCGAGCACTTCGTGTTTATATTTCAGGCCTCCAGTAGGGGAACTAAGCGTTAAGGGGAAAAAGCAGGAAAGTGGATATGAAGCATGTTGGAACAGCCATGAGCCTGTTGAATGGTGGATCAGACTTGAGGGGCTAAATGGTTTACTGTTCCTATTTGTTATGGTCCAGCATCTGCAGTATTTGCTTTAACAGATATGACTGGCAAGTCTGCTGTGTTCGTACTTAAATCAATGAGGTGTGAATGACTGCCCTTGACATTAAGGCCACATACTAAAATCTCTAATAGACTACCATGACCATCTACTCATAGCCCATACATGGGAACACCAGCACCTGCAAGTTTCCTTCCAAACCATTCACCATCCTGATTTGGAAATGTATCGCTGTTCCCTCAGTGTCACTGATTCAAAATCCTGGTACTTCCTCTGTCAGCATTGTGGGTCTACCTTCAGTAAATGGACTGTGATTGTTCAAGGTAGGATCTCACACCATCGAAGGAAACGAGGAATGTGCAATAAATGTTGTGATGCGAAATCTCATGTTTGAATGAAAAAGTTGGGTATTCTATCAGAGATGTATGTTTTAGCCTTATAAAAGCAGTTGCGTATTCCATTCCTGCTCTAGGTTTGTCACTCGGGCTTTGGGAAATAATCTGTCATGGTTAGTACCGAGCCCCCCTCCTCGTTTTAATTCACTTGTATCCTACCTTTCAATGCATTGCTGTTCCTGTAATTGAGGCAGTGAATTATAATAGTTAAACCTAGAAGCAACAAATGTATGAATGGAAGGTTTCATCACTGGTTGTGTTGAACCATGTGATGTGACAAAGGAAGAAGTTCAGTTTTGTTTTTGTTGGTGTTAATATGAAGTTGAAAGCTCACTCTGAGTTTAAATATGACACATGGTTGCGAACAGGCTAGTTCAGCCTCTCACTGACTCTGGTGTGAAGATTGGAGTCTGTAGCTTGGGAAAGAAGTTTATCATGGAGATGAAAGACAATCGCAGCATTTCCCAAAATTTAATTCAATAAATTTTCTCCTCCTTGTTACAGCTGAGGCTGGAATATTACACTAACTCTAGTCTCACCACTGCATTGTCGCAACACAAAATAAACATGCTTTTTCCATGATACTGACATGACAATATTCATACTTTCATACTTAAACAAAAACATCCACCATTCAGGTTTCTTAATAAAACAATATTGAGTGTATCGTCATAACAAAGCTTATGCAATAAAGATACAATACTTAATGTTTGCAGTTGGTAATATGGAAGTAGCATTTTATTCCTATAAATATCCCTATAAACACACGCAAACTGTTTAGGAAAAAGAGAAAAGAAAAAAAGATTTCTCTGCAGGGGTTGGCTTTCTGGGAAAAAAAAAAGGGACTTGAGGCAAAAGGATGACTATGATGTGCTGAAGTATGTTACTGTGATGTCAAGTCAAGCCACAAATCATGCACAATTGTCTCGGAAATTGAGCCAGCAGCTTGCTTCATGGTCTTGTAATGACTGTCAAAATAACAAGATATCTTTCATTCTGATCTGATTGAGGGTTTTTTATATATCAGAAATGGAAGTGATCAGCTGGGCAACTTGTTTATGGTGAGCTTTCCTTCAAGTTGACTTGTTTTTAACAGCCTTTCCTACAACTAAAACAGATAAAACCAGAAATTATCCAAGTCAGTCATTATTCAAAATAGCCCTAGCGTGTCTATAGCAAAGCGAACAGTTATCACCAGTTAAGCGATTATTAGGAAGCCTCGTTAAAAATATCTCCAAGGTACAAGGAACTTCCAATGATCTCTATTAAATAAATCAGTCCAGGGTATGTCCTCAAAATGTGAAATAAGTTCCTTTTTTCCCCACAATTCTTTATAACAGATTATCCAAGCAATATTAAAATATGAAGTGTCTTTACAACATCATCCAGTAGTGGCAATCTGAGATATTGGCAGCAGGGATTGATAGAGCTGGGTGGCATCAAATTTTGTACCCTTGCCTCTAATTCCATTCAGCTGCCTTTCCGCAACTAAGGATTACAGGACCTGAAATGTTAACTCTGCTTTCTCTCCATGGATGCTATCAGACCTGCTGAGCTTATCCAGCAAATTCTGTTTTTGTTTCCACAACCAAATATGATCTAATTGACCAAAATGTGAGCTAATGACTCCTATGCATTCCATCACATTGCCATCTATCTTGTGACATTTTTGAAAGGGATAGAGCCATTTACATTTCAGGCTGTGAGGATATCAGAAGAGAAGACAATCAGGTTACTGACGCTATGATTCGAATAAGATGTGGATATTTTGGACTCGTTAAATTCTGGCTTGTACATTGGACAGTATATTAACACATTTGTCTACGGATACAAATCTAATCCATTGGCATTGTGCAGGCTACCAAAGACTACTCTGCCTACTTAGGATTAAAAGAGTGCAGTTTTATCAGTGGATGTTTCCCTCTGTTTTGTTATGAGGAAGGAGAACAATGCATGTTCAGGAACCATCTGTGTTGCTTTGAGCTTGATAATCACTAGTCTTGAGAGCAGAAAGGAACAGCATTTCCATTATTTATTTCTTTTCCGCGTAGTGCTCATGACTCAGAGCATTAACAAAGTGTAGGCATTTCATAGAAACCAATATCATACAACTAATTGCTGCTAGACTTTGGGGATGCAACGTGGCTGCTCCCGTAGCTGTTCGGCAGTGCATAGTTCTTGGCTTAATTACTTTCTCTTTACTACAGGAGGATATAGAGGCATTTTCTGACCAGATACGGGATGCTGAAGAAATGAACACGCCTGAGTCAAAACATGCTGACCATACAGGTGCAGGTGGTGACGTGGACAAGGCCTTCAAGCAAATCCCAGGCACAACGTCAGTTCAGAAAGTAAGCTGACAATGAAAGGCTGCATTGTGTGCAATTTCCAGTAAAAACCAGAATTCCTATATTACGTACAAGACAGGAAAAGTGTGTAAAAGGGAAGGATTTGGTAATGGGAACTCCAGTTTAGTGAGGCCTATTGTGAACACTTTCATCTTGATCCTAACCCAGTCGACAGCTAGTGAGCTTAACAGGTTGGCTGGCTATTGGGCTGAAAAACAGTGGGTTGGAGGCACTTAGGATATTGTGGTTGAGAGAAGTCAAAATTCAGTTGTTGGGTTAGAGGGGTAGTTGAACATCTGGGAAAGTTGTGGAGAATAGCTGATTACACAAGATGAACTAGATAGGTTGAGGGGATGCATGAAAGCACTCCTGTTCCTCTGCCTTGCAAGCAATGATATGAAGTTATTGAGAAGATATTTGAAGGCAAGGCAAGTGGCTTTGCTCCCTCTTTATCTGAGGATCAGAAACCTAGGCTGATGGTAATAAAAGTAAGTCTTCACTTAAAATAGAGGCATACAGCTTCCTCAAAATATTTTCATTAGTCTCCTGCCACCTGCCAATGATTTGGCTGTTCACCTCCATTAAAACCAGTGGCGGGCAAGTTCAGGGCTGATTATCCTTTCTTTTTAAACTCCTCCTCACCATCTCAAGATCTTCAGGTATGAAACCAATCATTGATTCTGACTTTGACTAAGGGTACAGAGAGTGAAAGCAGAGACTTAGTTGTATGAGATTTGAACTGTAATAGATCTTAAAATAGCCATTGTTGTTTGAGCTAATGTTGTGAACATTTTCTGGTTGAGGATCGAGAAAGGACATCGAAGTTCTGACAGAAGGGGAGCCAGAGTAGGTTGCCAAAGTAAAATTGTTCCTTTTGAGATCAGCTTTAAGAAATTATTTGAGCAATGATTGGGTTAAAGATGCTCAAGATTGAATGAATTGTTTCCTTTGTTGTTAATAATGTCATAATTAGTTGGTGGATTGATACCTTTACCTTGAAAATTAGTTTGAAGAATGAAGGAACATTCTTCCCCTGTGCTTGCTCTGCCCTGGCTGTTCACACTACTCAGTTCTGTTCAGCCGTTTTTTCCTGCCTATTTCTTGATGCCCTTTCCTAACAACTGGCTGGAAGTTGTATCCAGTGCAAAGAAAGCTAGTTGTTATTGGAAGCCAAATGCATCCATCCCAGCGTATCACTGCATTAGTTCCTCAGGGCAGATATGTTCAAATCAACCTGTTCAGTGATCTATCACACACTTCAGGAACAGGTGGGACTTGAATCTGTGTCTCCTGGCTCAGAGGCAGGGACACTACCATTGCACCACAAATGCCCTTAGATCCTTAGAGTAGGATTGTAAACTTCAACTGCTTCTTCAATGACCTTGACTCCAAAATAAAGTCAAAAGTGGAGATATTTGTGTGTAGTAAGACCTGAGCAACATTCTGGCCTTGGGTTGTTTGTCTGATCGTATTAATTGAGTACTGTGTATCGTTTTAGTCTCCTTAGGGAGGACGTTCTTGCAATAGGGGCAGTTCAAAGAAGCTTTACTTGACAAATTCCTGGTGCAAGGATGCTATTCAAAAAGGAAAGGTTGACCAAGTAGCGTGTGTAACTGTTGGAGTTTAGGAGAATGAGAGGCGATCGTAGTGCAACATGCAAAATCCTGATGACCAGAACTGAGCTGGGAATACAGTAAGATGGAGATTAGCAGAATTATTTGCTGAGTGTTGTGAGCTTGTGCAACTCTTTAGAGAGTGGTGGAGGTGGAATTATTAAATATCTTTAAGGCAGAGTGGTAAATACTTGACTAACAAAGGAACCAGAAAATATCAGATTAGGTACAACATGGAGTTGAGGTCACAAACAGATCGGCCATTATCTTATTGAATGACAGATCAGGCTTAAGGGACCAAAAAGTCTACTCCAGGTCCAAATTCATGTGTCCATTTTGTCATTACAGTGCCAGACAATGATCATCTCCAGTGATGACAATGATCATCCTGGGCGGCACAGTGATTCAGTGGTTAGTAATGCTGCCTCACAGCATCAGGGACCGGGTCTCAGTTCCACCCTCGGGCGACTGTCAGTGCGGAGTTTGCACATTCTCCCTATGTCTGTGTGGATTTCCTCCATGTGCTCCGATTCCCCCCACTGTCCAAAGATGTACAGGTTAGGTGGATTGGCCATGTTAAATTGCCCATAGTGTCCAGAGACATGTAAGCTGGGAGGATTAGCCATAGAAAATGCAGGGATAGGATGGGAGGTGGGTTTGGCTGAGATGCTCTTCAGTGGCGTGGTGCTCACTTGATGAGCCAAATGGCCTGCTTCCACACTATAGGGGTTCTATGAACAAGTCAGAATCTAAGCACTGCTCCTTGATTTGACATCAGTATCATTGAATCTCCCATGGACTAGAAACTGACCTGGACCAGCCATACAAATAGTGTGACCACAGGAGCAGGTCAGGCTGAGACTTGAGGTGAATGGGCTCAAATTAAAATTATATCCATGTTCCCACCAGAGAAATTAATTTATCTACCAGGTGGAATCTATTTTGATCTTCTGTCTATCGTACTTGAAGAAAATGTATGTCAAACTTATACAACCTGAGTTAGAAGGATTTTTGATCATCAAGCAAGTTGAATGTTCTAGCTGACAAGTAGATAGTCAGAACTCCAGTCAGATAAGCTATTATCTCACTAAAAGACAGAGCAGGCTTTATACACCAGATGCTCTGCTCTTTCTATTACTTATGATCTCACATCTGCCCTCTTCATCCCTGTTGCAAAGTTGAGTAGAGTATGTGATGTTTGTAAAATGATAGGGGGGAAGAGTGTGCGGACACTTCGAAAGATGGGTTTTTTGTTAGGCTTGGAGATTAAGAAAATGTCTGCAGTTAGCAGCAGATATACAGGGAGTTCTTGAAATTGAAACATTGTATCAAAAGGCTATACTGTTAACAGGCAAAGCAGCATTTTTACCAAGACAACAGGTTTTTGAATTTAGCTAATTTAATTTAAACCAGACCCTAGGTGCCAAAACCCAATTAAATTTAAATCTGATGGTTTTGGCAACCCAGGACCAATCCTTTTGTAAGAAATTGATAGGTCCTCAAGGGTGTAAAAGAAGAGGTTATTTGAAAATCGGCATGAAAGTGAACTGCCATCTGAAGAGAAACTCACTGGCTCTCACAGAAATCTCTAAGCTCTCAGAGTAAGCACCGTCTAAATAAACGTATTACGGTACTCTTAGCTAATATTCCTGACAGAAAAGTTCAATGGAGAAAGGTGTTCCTGACTGAGGATCAGCAGAGAAGGCATGGACCATTCCAGAAGACTTATCCTGGCTGTAATTTTGAGAGGCTAAGTTTTAATTTATTTTTCTTACTAATTTGGGTCATATAAGTGGGACTTCTATCTATTAGAACAACATATCATTAGAATTTTGTTTATTTGGGAATTGTTTGGTCTGTTAGTAGTTCTGTTAATTTGTTTACTGTTGGAGTTAGATAAATAAATTGTTACTTGCTGATTATAGAATGAGTGAAAGGATTTTATTTTATTTAACAACTCCTTTATAACAGATTGGAAAGTGAGAGGCAGCTTATACCACTTTTCACACTTCTTATAACAGATTACAAGGCGAGGCCAGTTTCTCGGGATGTTTTGGTTTTAGTTATCAGGGAGATGTCGAACTCTCCTTCGTAACAATCTTCTAATCTCCACTCTACTGTCTCCAAGGCCAATGTCTTCCATGCCCCAGAATTGAATGCATTTATCTGAACAGGTTCTGATCAAGGTTTTATGCAACCAAAGCATAACTTGTTCCCCTTTGCCTTTATGTCAAGGGTGCTGGAGTGCAAATTCTTATAATATTGATGAAATAGGAAGACATTAACATGTAGGAGCAGAATTAGGTCATTCACCCCATCGAATCTGCTCCGCCATTCGATCATGGCTTATACGCTTGTCAGCCCCATTCTCCTGCCTTCTCCCCATAACCCTTGATCCCCTTACTAATCAAGAACCTAGCAGCCTCTGTTTTAAATACACTTAGTAAGTTGGCCTCTACAGTCCTCTGCAGCAATGAGTTTCACAGATTAACCACCTACCTGATTCCTCATTTCATTTCTGAAGGATTGTCCCTTCACACCGAGGCTGTGCCCTTGGATCCTAGTCTCTTCTACCCGTTGAAACATCATCTTCCTGTCCACTTTATCCACACCTCTCAGTATTCTGTAGGTTTCTGTCAGATCCTCCTCATCCTTTTAAACTCCATTGAGTAAAGACCCAGAGTCCTCAACTGCCCCTCATATGATAAGGTCTTCATTCCCAGGATCACTTTTGCAAACTCCTCTGGACAGCCCTCTAATGATCCTTTCATAAATACCAGGCCCAAAATTGCTCTTGATATTCCAAATGTGGATTCATGTGACTGGAACTAGGAAGGCACACCATGGGTTTACACATTTGCTGTTAACCTCAAGGAGCTACGCTTGATTCTTGGAAAGTCTGCAGGCATAAGTATAACTGCTAATGCTAAGATTGTTTGAAATTAATTGGGAAGGTTTAAATTGTTGTACACGTTCAGACATAGGCATTTATTTTTCATTTCCTTGAGACTCTGCCATGCAATTAAATCAAAATGATTCCACATTGTAGATAAGTTAATTAATGGGGACATAGGGCATAATTTTAATGAGCATTTTGGAAGTGAAATCTTGGAACTGATTTTCCACGTGGAGGGCAGGGGAAATCTGTAATTCCTTGTGTGTTATGGTATTCACTGATACACAACCCTCTATGAAGGGAGTAAATGCTTAAGGTGGGATCTGGGGTACCAGTCGAGTGAGCTGTTTTTCCTGGATGGTGTTAAGTGTTGTTGGAGCTGGTATCCAGGCAACTGTCTTCTGTGACACTCCTGATTTATGCTCTGTCTATGATGGCAAACTTTGGGGAATCAGGTGGTCAGTTACTCATCTCAGAACTTCCAGCTTCTGACC